TAGCTGTTGCAGGTGGTGATGGTAGTAGTGGTGGTAGTGGTGGTAGCAGTAGCAGCAGAAGTAGCAGCAATAGTAGCAGTGGTGGTAGTAGTAGTAGTAGTAGTAGTAGTAGTAGTAGTCGTAGTCGTAGTCGTAGGCGTAGTAGTAGTAGTAGTAGTAGTAGTAGTAGTAGGAGAAGCAGAAGTAGTAGTTGTGGTTGTTGTTGTTGTTGCAGCAGCAGCAGTGGTGGAGCACTCAAGCTCCCAAAACCTGAATGCACTCACCTCACCACCTTCACCTGCGAACCCGGAAAAGCACATGGAGTGCTCAGGGCTTCAGCTCGCCGCGAGCAGCTCGGGAGACCACCTCGGCCTTCGGGTCGCTTCGGCTCTCTGTAGCTTCTGTATTTTTTCTTGTCATGTAAAGGGTGATATTCTCGGGCTTCTTTTCGGTCGTGCTCATTGGTGAACTTGTTTTAGTCTGGAGCAGTGGTCGCAACAAGTAGTGCAGTGTTTTTGACTACAGGTGGTTGGGTGGTGCTCACACTTCTGATTGCGATGAAGAAAGATGATGGTGATGATGGTGATGATGATGATGGTGGTGATGGTGCTGGTGATGGTGATGGTGATGGTGATGGTGATGACGATGATGGCCGTAATGACGGCGGTGGTGATGGTTGTCACGACTATGTTGCTGTTCTTGCTACTGCTAGTCTTTAAGTCTGTCTGATGGTTGTGGAGTAATAGTGGTGGTCTCGGTTGTCGTAGTTGTGGCCGTGGTGGAGAAGTGACGTCGGCAGCAGCAGTAGCAGTATTGCATTTCTTTTGTTGTTATTCTTGTTGTGATCAGTGTTGTTCATCAATATTCTTATTATGAAGTTCTTATTGTTATTATTTCCTGCAGCCTGCAGCAGTTACAGGAGTAGCGGCAGCAGGAGCGGCAGGAGGGAGCAGTAGCAGCCGCAGTAGCAGTAGATGTAGGAGCAACAGTGGTCGTCGTCGTTGCATCTATTAACGATAGTTGCAGCTTTGAGCTAATTTGTCGTGCTGGGGGATTAGAGACATGATCTCGTTGCAGCACATGTCCGGGAAGAGATGCCCGGTCCCACAGACGCAACACAATGCATCCTTGCGCGACAGTAGCCGGGAAGGCTGTGCTCACTCGTTCCAGGCAGCAACTGAGTTGTGGTTTCCATAGCCGTTGCAGTAGTAAGGCACTCCGCGAGTTGATGCCGGGCCTGCAGCAGCGGCAGCGGGGTGAATCGTTTTCAGCTATTTTCCATTCCAACTGTTTTGCTAGGGCTGCTAGGACGACATCGAGAATCGAGACTGCATTCCATCCGACAGATGCCTCAAAGAGGCCAAAGCTTTTACGGGATGCCGCATGACCACGTCCTGCAAGTTTGTAACTCTCCGGACATGTTCAAGGGACTGCAGAATGTCGTAGAGGTCTAAATTGACTACTGCCGTGCAATGTCGTGCATGGAGTTCCGGCCCCTCAGCGGGAAATGGAGCTTTTCAAGAGAGTGACCACGTCTTTATCGGGGAATTCTTCCGCAGCTCTCGAACAGCAGGAGTTGTATATAGTGCTTCCGTCCCGTTGTGCTGAGATTTTCAGCACAAGGGCTGATGAAATAATGTACAAAGCCTGCGTCTGTGGCATTCAGTGCTGTGGCAGCAGTACTTCCGCGTGCGCGACGCGAGAGTACCTGCGGGCGGGTTTGCTGCCTGCCCGTTGCCGGCACTGATTTGCAGAAGCCTGGGTTTCATGCCCTCCTTGACACCAGTCCGAAACCCGCTTAGAAGATCCACAGTAAGAGGGTCCTGTCGAAGCTGGCACGTCCTCTGACACGAGCGTCACGAGAGGACTTCTGGGATCCTGTGACTTTTATGCCTCCTGAGAGCCGGCCTCTTAGCGGATGCGGAACGGCTGTCGTTGACCTCCGCGTCTGTTCACGCTGAGGCCGCGATCGCGGTAAGGTGGATGACCTGCTGAAGGAGGAGGCTCGCCCCCGAAACGGGACCTGAATCTGAGACCCTCAGGCAACTGCTTGCTTGCACAATCGAAGTCCGATGATGGATACCGCCCCGAACTCCGCCTGGCCAGGAGAAGGAGCCTGACTTCATGAATTTTGGCGCTATGACGCCATCCTTCAGCCTTGCCGCGCCGGAGGCGCGATGTAGGGCAGTGTCTCGCACATGGCTTACAGTGACCAGGAGCACCATCACTGTGTTTCTCGTTGTCATCAGCATTACCATCATAATCCTCACGACCACCAGTGCTGCCATTGCTAATCATCAGGCTCAAGGGGAGAAGCTTCCGCGCAGCTGAGCCTGTCAACTTCCCGTGCCCAAAGGGAAGGCTGATTCTCCTTTAAGCCATGGCTCCGTCGAGCGGAGGCTGGTTGGCACATCTTAAACGCATGCTGCAGAGGATGAAATCTGCTTTAGCACTTGATGCGCAGCTGGGCTATTTGGGACAGCCAAGCAAGCAGGGTAGAATTGTGGTTCCTTCGCCTTGCTGGCTTGAGATCGATGGGCTAGTAAAGCAGATAGTGTGGAGCAGAAAGCAGCTGCTTGGGAGAGATAAGTTCGACTACGGGCTTCCGCTGGAGGCTGAGGAGCCAGCCCAAGGGGCTAGGCTGGGAGATGACAGATTCAACGTTGTGAGCCGCCCTGTTGTGGGTGCACAGGACGGCGAAACCAAGAAGGAAGCGAGCTGGCCAAGGACAGGTGGAAAGGACTGTGGGATAAGTTCCGCCACCTGCACTAGGCCAACTGAATGTGCCATGAGAGAACTACTTCTAATCACGTCCGGTGATGGCAGCGACGATGGTTGGAGTGAACCCTCTTGGGCAATACCCTGCGAGCCTGCGAAAGCTCATTTTGAGCAACAGTCACCCGAGCATGTGCCATGGCCGCATAGGGGTTTAGGTCCTGACCCGAACCCCACACCGTGCCTGCCGGCACCTTCTGTAGACTTTCGTGCCCCCTCGCCCCTTAGGGTTCTAGGTGCCTCCCCTGCCCCGGAGCCGTTGAGTTCTTCTGTTCCTCGGCCCTGTGGGTTCTAGGCCCTTGCCCAACCCTGGTGCAGCAGTGCAACCCGTATCCAGCACCGTGCCTGCCGGCACTTTCTGCAGACTCTCGAGCCCCCTCGCCCCGTAGGGTTCTAGGTGTCTCCCCGGTTCCGGTGCCGTTGGGGTCTTCTGTTCCTTGGCCCTGTTGGGTTCTAGGCCCTTCCCCGACCCTGGTGAAGCAGCGCAGTCCGAACCCCGCACCGTGTCCGGCACTTGCTGCTGACTCCCGCGTCCCCTTGCCCCGTTGGGTTTTAGGTGCTTCCCCTGTCCCTGTGCCGTTGGGGTCTTCTGTTCCTTGGCCCTGTTGGGTTCTACGCCTTCCCCGATCCTAGTGCAGCAGAGGAAACGGAGCAACAAGCACCTCAGAAGACTTGTCAAGCAAACTGGCTCCTGGTCGGCCGCCGGTTTCCCTCAGAATTGGTGGAGGCCCAGGTCTCGAAGGACTGCTGGAGGGCATTGTGTCTCAGCTCATGCCCTTGATCACTGAGATGATTCAGAAAGCGATCGCTGAAGCACTTGGAGATGCCGTCGGCACCGGGGGCTCCCGACAAGGTGGTCCTGACGGCACTTCGGGCGAGCCTCGAAGCAAGCGGCACAAAGGAGGAGGCCGAGATCCTAAGCGTAAAACCCCCGAGGCAAATGCACAGGTTTCGGGGCGAGGCGTGGGAAGTGCAGAGGCTACTGCCAGCGCTGGCCCCAGCCGGCGAGTCACGACGGGCAAAGGTGCAGGAGGGCAGGTGCAACCCAAGGCCCAGCCGAGGCCGCCAGCGCCAGCGGCACCAGGCGAAGCGAAATGGCAGACGGTGCAGCGCCGGCGTGAGGAGCAGGAGCCCTTTGAGCTCCGAGCACAGGATTGGGATGTGCCGGTGGTAGCGCACGATGCGATTGGCCGAAAGCTTGATGAGCTCCCGGACAAGCAGACTCTTGAGGGTGTGGTGCTGGCTGCCAAGGCCCAGCTGGACACGGTAAGGACCATTCTGCGTGGCACTTCAAAGCCGCACCGCATAATGTGTGTCGAGCTCAAGAAGGACGGTAAGGAGCGCATCCCGGGACGTTCGGGAAACCAGCTGCGCTTCAGACAGGCCGACATCACCACGCATTTCTCGCAAGGGACCTCGGCTCCTCGATATGCGGGCACCAAGGCTGCTGCCATCACCGTTGCCCCGACGAAGACCACCACGGTCTTCATTCGCATTCCGGCTGCCTTCTGCAGTGCCGAGCGCTGGAAGGAAATCCGAGGCAGCCCTGCGAAGGCTGTGACAGCTTGGGCTGCCGAACAAAGGGTCATCCTTGCCGACTCCTGGGGCTGGGTCGAGGAGTCTTTGCCCAAACAGGGGAAGCAGCTGTTTGGAAAGGCCAGGCTGGCCGAGAAGGAGATGACTAGCTTGCTCTGTGTGAGCGGGCGGGGGGGCATCTTCGTTGATTGCATCAGGGATGCCGTTCCTGCTCAGGTGCAATGGCTGGCCCGCATAGACAATGAGCCCGACTCGGCTTACCTTGAACGAGGCCTGCGGATGTCGGCACAGCTTGGGCTTGCTTCTCAAGGGGGGCGCATAGGGGCCAGATCTGCGCGGGATCCAAACACGGCCATCCCTCGTGTGTGGGTGTTGCCGCACGTGCCTCCTGATTGGGGGCCGCCAGAGGTGACGCAGGTGCTTGAGCAATCCTTTGATGCCATCACCCTAATCCACCATAGGCGAACAGGCCGTGAGCAGTTGTATCGGTTTCGGGGCACCCACAAATTTGGTGACCGGGACATTGTGCCTCTGCAGGTGCAGGTCTCCGAGGCAGGTGCCACGAGTGACATCACAATGTGGGCCACGATAGCCCCAGTCAAGCTGCCGAGCAACAAGCAGACTTGGCTTCGCGACCAGGCCATCCCTTTGATTGCCCCGAAGGCGCCTGCGCTTCAGGCGACTCAGGTTAAGGTGCCGCAGACGCCCAACACGCAAGCCGATGGAACGGCGCAGCAGCCAGCCCAGGCTCGAGCCGTGAGCCAGAGGCAACTTCCCGATGGAGTCAAGATAGAGGCTACCCCGAAGGACGGCAGTTGCCTTTACCGCTCGATTGCCAAAGGGTTGCAGTGGCTGACCGGCAAAACCTATAGCCATCGCGACTTGAGGGCGCGAGCCAACCAGCACATCGAAAAACACCTTGAGCAATACCTCCCTGAGTTTGATGGCCAAGGACCCAATCATGAGAAGCTCCGCGAGGACCATCCCGACGACGACGTTGCTGCGCTCAAGGCTTACCTTAAGCTGGCTGCCGGGGAGAGCGCTTACGCGAGCAACCTCGAGATTAAGGCCCTTTCCCGCCTTTACAATGTGTGCATCGTAGTGGTGCCCCGGGACCCGCGTTTCGGCACCCTCACCTTTAAGGAGAACAGGCGGGCTAAGACCATTGCCCTATGGCTCACTCCTAAGCATGTTGATTTGCTCTTGCCCTCCGACCCTGCTGCTAGTTACCCAGACGCGCTGTTCGCCCCGAGCCCAGGGCAGATCATCGATCTCCGTGCCGGCGGCCGCCCGACTGAGAGGGTCGCCTCCCTTTGCAGCAAGAGGTCCCGGGCACAGAGCGCCAGCAGCAAGTGGACCCGAGCTTCCGATGCCGCGTCCTCGGCGCAGTCGGTCAAGAAGGCCTCGTCACTGCGCACAGGCACTGTGTGGTCGGCCTCCTCTTCAGCAAGGCACAGGATCCAAGCACCACAGGTTCTGGGGCCCAGTCCGTGGGGTCAGGCCCACCGAGCACCGGAGCTGCAGATAGGGCCGACGCTGATGAGCTCCACATCCCTGCGCCACCGACTCCGGATGCTGATGCGGGGAGACCGGCTCGCCGCAGGCCTGTGTACTTCCACACGGAGGATGGCGCTGCGTTTGCACAGCATGGCGTGTACCAGTGTGAGTTCTGCCCTTTCCGCGTGCAGGGAACCGACCCACGCAAGCTCACCAGGACCAAGTATTGGCACCTCACCCATTATCATGATGGCAGGGGTCTTTGGCAAAAGCCCAAGCCGATCCAGCTCACGAGCCGGGGCAGGAAGGCGGATTTTTTCTGGAAGTGCCCTCTCTGCAGACTGGGTCTCCTTCGAACCGAGGCCGAGGGGCGAACCACAAACCAAATCAGCAGGACCAAGTCGGCACACAGGCTTCAGGCGCACCCTGAGGTTACCCATGACACCTGGAATGTCCTCACGCATCGTCAGGGCGCGAGCTCCGTCTTCAAGGCCAAGCTCCGAGCGTCCCGGTTCAATGTTAGGACTTCGTTGCTCAAGGTGAAGGAGGTGCCTGATCATATTGTCAATTTTGTGCTACCGGTTCCCCGGAAGACCAAGCAGGACGACCTCCAGGTGCCACGGGCCGCCGACCAGATCGGATTCCGGAGAAGTTGGAAGTGCAGACGGTGTGGCGCAATTGCACGGTCCGCCACCACACTGAAGCGCCACACCGGTGCGACGTGCCCGCGTGCCCATTTGGGGGCGATCCAGAACCGGCTGAAAGTCCTTAAGAAGCTGGAACGCAAGGTCGCGGGCACCAACAACACGGGATTCTCGAAAGCACAGCTGCAAGAGATCTTTCAGACGGCCCGCCGCACCATCGAGGAGCAACCTTCTGAGCCTTCGTCTCGCTTCTGACGTGCAATGTGACCAGGCGGCGCCCCTTCCTTGGAGGCAGTTGCCTCGCTGCTGCGTGCCCAGGACGTCGCTGTTGCTGCCCTTCAGGAGACTGACATGAACCGCGCCACGGCCCTTGGATTTGCCGCTGCTTGGCGCCGACATGGGTTCCACACTTCATTGGGGCCCTGTGGCCCCAGAGGCCTGCGCCGTGTTGCTTTGGTATCCGGCCTCCCGATGCAGCCCGTCGATCTGTGTATGGACGTGCATTGTGATCGTGCTGCGGCCGGCCTGGTCTCTTTACCTTTGGGAGCCCGGCGGGTCTCTGTGTTGGTGGCCTCTTTCTATGGTTTTCCTATGGACTTGGCTCGCACCAACGAGGCCTTCGACGCTCTGATGAAAGCGATCTCTGTGTTCGGCGGGCCGTTTATCATCCTCGGCGATCACAACTGCACCCAGGCGGAAGGTCTTGTGGCCACGGCGCTTAGTGCTTTAGCGGTTCGGGCGGCCGATGAGTCGTGCCTTGTGGAGCCGCCAAGCACCAACCCCGCCAACACTCGCCGCATTGATTATGCCCTCACCCACCCTGACTTGGTGGCTATTGGTGGGCATACCTTTCGGCAGGCCGAGCTTTCGGACCACGGCATTGTGCGTGTGGACTTTGCGGGGCAGAGCTTCCAACCTTCCTGGCAACGACCTCGGTTTGCTGACCCCACCAGGCTGCGACCCGAAGCGGAGGCCACTTCGAGCTTCCCGAGTGCTGAGTTAGATTTGCTGCTGTCTGCGTCCCGATTGGATTCGGCGTGGGCGCTGCTCTCGGATTGGGCGGAAGACTACCTTGGAATCCCCGATGCCGGGTGCCGGCGGAGCCAGCCTTGGCAACCTCAACCGAAAGCACTGCCCTGCGGAGCTCCCACGCGCAATGGGCACGAGCCTCGTCCTCTCAGAGATTTGCGGCAGCTGGCCCGCCGCCTAGAACAGTTCCAGCAGGAGCCTTGGAACTCTGCGTTGCATGGGCGGCTGTGTCGCTCCTTGCGGCATGTGCGCGCACAGGTGCCTGACTTGCCCTTTCTTGACCCTACTTATCCTGCTCAGGCACTGTCACAGGTGAATGCGCTCATCGAGGCGCATCGGGTGGCCCACCGAACGTCTTGCCTTGCTAAGTGGAAGCAGAAGATGGAGGAAGCACCGGAGCGCGCCATCAAGTGGATCAAGCGTCGTGCCGATCTGGACTTGGCGCTGCAGCGGCCTCCTGCCTTGGAGGAGGCGAGCACCGGCACGATACACCCGGCCGACCGGCTGCAGGAGCAGGGTGAGCTCTGGATTCGGAGATGGCAAACCCCTGCCACCACTGCTGACATCCCGGCTTTCCGCCGTTTACTGCGCGACCTTCCCTCGAATGCCCAGGTGGAACTGGACTTGGTTCCAACGACCCAAGAGCTCAAGAGCGCGATGGGGAAAATGAGATCCAAAGCGCCAGGGGCTGATGGATGGAAGGCCCACACGCTGTTAGGACTGCCGGCTGAGTGGTGGAGCGGTTTTCAGTGCCTTTGGGCCACCGTCATCCGCAGAGGACAAGTGCCCAGCCTCTGGAGGAGATCCTTAATCGTCCTTTTGTCCAAGCGGAACCACGCGACGCGCCCTGTAGCGTTGCTGCCTGTGGCGTGGAGAGCAGGAGCCCGAGCCGTGGCAAAGCGGCTTAAGGGGTGGGTGGTGTCCTGGAACGGCGCGAGAGCTTGTGGCGCGGCTCCTGGGCGGAGCGTGGCAAACGTGCACGCCAGGATCCTTCAAGCATGGCAGCTGGGTGTGCGTTCGTTCATCCAACAGGATCTCAGCTCCTTTTTCGATAGCCTTAGCATGCCGGCCATCACGGCAACACTGAACCACCTTGGCGCTCCCACCGCTTTGGCCCCACTCCTTGTGAACTTCGACTCTCAGCAGTTCCGCTTGTTTACCATCGATGGGCACACCTCGCCGTGCTGGAGGGCTGCTCACGTTGGGTTGCTTCAGGGGTGTCCTTTGAGCCCGTTGCTTAGTCTTTGCGTGGGGCATCTCTGGACGCAACATGTGTCCCAGACGGTGGAGTCTGGCATCTTCATCGATGACCGCGTGTTGTGGTTTCCAGAGGGTGCCCCTGCCTCGGAGGCGACAGCTCGGCAAGCTTTGCAAAGGAGTGACGACTTCGATGCTGCGGCGGGTTTGACCTGCTCCCGCAGCAAGTGCCATCTCGTGACGGTCGACCACGCGTCCCCGTGGGCGGAGGTGGCCAGTGCACGGGGCTACACGGTGGTTCCCACGTTGCAGTTCCTTGGCATCGAGCTGCGGCTCGACACTGGCGACACAAGTCCACTCCGGCTTTGTTTGCGGAAGCTGCAGGCACGCCTTAAGCACGCTACACACCCAGCCTTCAGTCTCGGGGTGAAGTTTCAGGTCATACGTGCTTTGGTCTTCCCGGCCCTGTTCTGGGCGGCTGGGGTGGCGGTGCCCGACGTGGAGGTACTCCAGGCCATTAGGCTTAGCGTGAGCCATGCCCTGCAGGCCGTGCTGACTTTCGAAGCTCCTCGGGTCCTGATCGGCCAAGTCCTGGGCTGGAGCCTTGACCCGTTCTGGATGGCGGACTGGGGCTCTTTAGCGGCCCTCACTCGTGCGCTCACGCGGGCCCCTGAAGGGCCGGAGAGGACAGCCTGAGCAGCCTAAGAGTGTCGCGCGCTGCGGTCTGCCCGGCCGCGCTGCAGACCGTGCAGCGACTGGGCTGGAACTTCAACTCAGCGCAAAAGCAACTGCAGCGCACCGATGACCGGGGAGTCATCCGTGTTTTCCGGTTCGGCGAGGACTCCTGTCAGGTACTTAGGCGATGGCTCACCGAAGCATACGTGTTGCAGACTGCCCGGGCCTGTGGGCGCGTGGTCAGACGACGGCACCTTCCCCCTCCCGCGGCCCACCTTAGGTTTGCCTTTTTGGGCCACGGCCAGGTTTTCAAAACCGCGAGCACCGCGGCGACCAAGCGGGCCTGCTTGGTCACAGGTGGCACTGCTTGGCACTTCGGAAAGAAGAGTGGGACTGCGGATCCCACCTGCTTGTGCGGAAAACCTTGGCCGTCACGACCTCACCTGCTTTGGGTTTGTGAGGAGCTGCAAGAGACAAGGGGCCAGCTGGCCCAGCCCACCAACCGAGTGGAGGAACGTCTCCTGGGCCATCCGGTGTCCGAACATCCGGGACCGCCTTTGGAGACAGTGCCTTGCCGTGAGGCCCTGCTCAGGCTGTTTGCTGAAGCTGAGACGGCCGGGATCCAGACGATTACCCTGGCAACAGACGGTTCGAGCCTTGACGGAGTTGGCAGCTACGCGGTTGTCTGTGGCAGCCCGAGGGCCCGGATTCCTGGCGCCGACGCAGGCGAAGATCAGTCCCCATTTCGCATGGAGCTCAAGGCGTTGGATGAGGTGTTCGCTGCGATGGTTGTGGCCCCTTGGCTACCGCCACACGTGGTGATTCTTGTGGATTGCGAGGCGGCGATCAAAGCCGTGAGCTGCCCTGCGAAATGCTCCCTGGGCAGCCTGGCAGGCCGTGCTCACGACAATGGCCGTCTTCTACGTGACCGCGGCATACGCTGGACACTTGTGTGGGTCCCCAGCCACGAGAAGCAGCCCTCTTGGCGTCCGCCACTTTGGGCACCTGTTTCTGATGGGGAGTGTCGCTGCCTGAACAGGGCGGCTGATGAGGAGGCGAACAGGCTCTGCAAACGCAGGCACCGAGGTTCGCTGCGCGCTCTTTGGGAGGCTGAGGTCAAGACTGCCAAGGCAGCGGAGACCGCACGGATCCACGCGCTTAGTAGGGCGGCAGAGCTCTTAGAAGCTCACATATGTACAGTTCGGCCTCGTGTCCCCGGGGCTGCTCTCATCGATGATGATGTATAGGCCAGCGGCCCTGGCCCACACGTGAAGACCGACGTGGGACCCCCGGGCCCACGGACGCAAGGAACCCTGAATAAAAAAAATGCTAATCATCGCTGCGACTCTGGGGCCGTTGTAAGTATTCAATGACTCGTGCAGCCTCTGCGAGGCCAAGGATGAGGACATTGAGACGGGCCATGAACGTGAAGCGCCCGGCGCCGCTCCTTGGAGGAGCCAGAAGAAAGGGTGTTCGCGGAATTTTAGATTTTAGACCAGCTTTGACCGTCTCCCGAAGGATCTTCCGCAACATGACCCTGGTGACATGCATCTTCTGGATTTGTGCCGGGGTGCGGGGCATGGCCTGTGGTACTTTGCGTCCACCGGCGGGATCGGAATGGGCCGCAGGCATGGGAGTTCAGCACTGTGCTGGTACCAGAGCTCATCGACATGGGCTTGGCCTTCGAGGCATGGGCATGCGCAATTCTCGATACCACTCAGTGTGCTTTCCACCTGTGCAACGGTTGCAGGATGAGTTCGAGGCACAGAACAAGCATTCCACGCAGTGCCACGGCAGCAACGCCCATGCCCAGCAGCTGCATTCGCTATCAGATCCATCCGAGGTTGAATCTGGAGCATGTCCGCCTCCAGCCTGTTGATGCAGTAGGCATCCGACACGATCATGAACCAAAGTTGGCGGAGTCTCTTGTTGTCAGGTGTCTGTTCCCACGTGCCAGAGACAGTATAAATAAAATTTTTAGGTGGTGTCTCCTGGTAAGTCTGCGTGACTCTGTTGCTCGCTGGTCAGCTCTCGCCGGGGAGCACCGAGCTTCTCTAATGGCGCTTCGCTGGACACTCAATCAAAAGCAAAACGTCCAGTGTTTCGAGACCCTGCGAAGCCTACCGCCGTGCGATGCAGACTTCTCTAGGCAATGCTGTCAAGAACGCCCACTACGAAGCGGTGAACACCACATGGCCCTATCCTGGCATTAGGCGGAACCCCCACATCGGGAAAGCTCGAGGTTAGAATCTATCTATTCTGGGGAGCTGCTTCCAGGCCCACAGGTCTGTCTTGCGACTCGCATGGGCGACACCTGCTTGCCCCGAGCTCATACCGTTGCGCGTCCCATTCACCAGGATGCACTCGCAGCTGTCGCATCCTTCAGAGGTCACAGATGGCTTATCTGCTTTCCTGGCTTTGGTCGAAGAGGAAAAGGTCGGAATCGGAGTAGTAGTTTTTCGATCCTGTGACAAAGACGACGGAACTGTCGAAGGCAGCAACTGCTCAGGATGGCATGAGGCATGGACATGATCTGGGTGCTGCCAACCTGCAGACGGTAATTGGCTTGCAAGGCTGCGGCAGCCCGCGCCCATGGCCCGTGCGGAGTTCAAGCAGGCATGTCACGGATCGTAGACACATCGCAAGCAACTGCTGTGAAATTAGAACCTGTCCCGGCGGCAGGTCGACTCTTGTGCAGCCCTCCTGGGGCAGCAGCTCCAGGATATGTCAGACAGTTCGTTGGACAAAGCTACACGTGCAGCAAGTGTGCACTCAGGCATGTGCAAGCTAATCTCTGTAAGGCAATATTCAATATTCTATTTGGAGCAATTCTTGGTCTTGCATGTGCAGCCACGAAATGCAAGCCACGTTGGAAAGTGTGAAGGCCTGTGACAATGGGAGTTTGATTCAAGCAAGGGGCTGGTTTGTCATACCCACAAATGTGCCATCCTCCCCAAAGTCCGTGACAACCCCGCTGTTTCCCTTCATGACTTCGGTACGCACCTGCAGGACACGGCTCTGTCCTGTGCGGACAACTCCACCGCAAGCTGCGAGGCTTCTTCCTAGGTCCTATAGGTCCTAGGCACTTCCGTAAGCTCCTGACCGACGGCGATCCAACCTCTAGCGTACGCGCAAGCTCGCATGCATCCGGCAAGCTCCAACTTCCCTGGATTGCTCTTGCCAGGGCCTATCCCCGCTCGCAGGCCATGGTGTTGCATCAGCAGGGCCAGCGCGTCGCGTCTTGCCACCTTTCGGGACATGGAGGCCGCCGTTTGCAACATTGCTTCCAGCAAGTGGCACAAGACATGCTTTTTGCGGTTACTATTCGGTCACTTCATGTTGCTTCTGTTGACAGTTGACAGTGTCACCATCAGGACGACGAAAGGACGAGGAGCAGGAGGAGTAGGAGGAGTAAGAGGAGCAGGATCAGGAGGAGCAGGAGCATGAGGAGCAAGAGGATTAGCTGCGTCTACTCGTACCAGAAATGTTGTTATTATTATCATTATTGTCATATCATTGTTATTGCTGTTATTGTTTCTGTTACTCAGTAGTCGTCGTCGTACTAGAACTAGGCTCCGCCCCCAAAGTTTGCCCGCAACTTTCTCTGTTAGACGTTTTAGTACGGAGCATCCATGGCACAACCATGATGACATCCATGGTCTAATCCGTCTTGAATGGCCAGCATCCATGACCCAACCATGACGACGTCCATGTTCTAGTCAGTTTGAAGTGCAGGGCATCCACGGCCTAACCATAAAGTAGTTCAACACATGCATGGACCAACCATGTTGACGTTAACCGCGACTGCTGCCACTACCCGTACCACTAGGACTTTGCCTAACCCTTTACCCCCATTGTTCCCACTACCACTACTAATACTACCAACGCCCCCAAGTCTGCCAGAGCGGGCTACGGCTACTCGTCATCTACATACACTGCTGACTCAGATGATGCAATCCGTTCACCCACCAAGGTTGAAACTCGGACTCGAGATTCATTACATACCAACACATGCATGGATGCTCCTGGCCAAGACATCGACAGCAGCCCGTAAATTAAGCTTCGAAGTTCATGTGTATCGCTTTCCCTTGTTCGAGTCGCCGGACAGTGCCGTGACAAAGTTGACATCGACTTTGCCTGACTGGCCGACGGTGCGACATGGCGAGCCATGATGGTGAATTTTCGGATTCAGTCAATCCGCTGCCCATTGGAGGCGGCCTTAGTCTCTCGGTCGCCTCTTCCTGGCTCTCCGGAACGCCGCGGCCCAAAGCATGTCCCACTCTTGCTTGGCCACGGACTTGACTGAGCTGAGGCGTTCAGACCGCCAATCCGAGCAGGCAGAGCGTCCGTGCTTCCCTGAGCTCGCGCACTCGACTTGGCTCTCATTGCAAGGCCCAGTTCCTCATGGTGGACCCAATATGCCAAGAAGCCAAGCGACATCTTCACAGCACTGTCATGCAAACTTTGCCGGCTACGTGCACATGCCCAGGCAATGCGGACTCGCTTGGTGCGGGCTGCACATCAGTGCAGCCGACATGTGGTTTGCCGGCAAAAGAGGAGCTGCTGCCGAAGATAACCTTCGGTAACCCTGGCTAGTAGACACGACTTTGATTTCGCCAGGTTGGGACTTCGAGATGGCGACTGGCACGCCTTCAGAGAGGAACGCAAGGCTTCAGCAGCAGCTTACCGTCCTGAGCAGCACGATTGAGCGTATTGTGAACATTGTGCCTTTCTTCAGGTGATGACTTGATTCCTCTGGATGTCACTGACGATAAGGACTCCCAAATGGGTAGTTCTCTAAATTAGGGTCCCTTTTGGGGTCCCCAATATAGTACGGCACCCTTATAATATGGGCCCTAAAAGGGACCCTAGTTATCCCAATGCAGGCCCTGATTTTTGAATTCTGCCGCTGGCTGGCAGGATGCAGAGCTCGGCCGTCCCAAGACGATGCGCTTGATGACAGAACGGTATCCTTGATGGGTTAAGAAGCTGGGGTCTTACATGTAGCAGCTTAGCAGAGTTTTACCGTGGATGCCAGGTACCTGGGAGTTCTCCGAGCTGGTGACAAGACATTAGAGCTGTTGGACCTAGACAATGGCGACTCCCTTACCTAAAGCTGCATTATGCTGTGGAGTTCGCTTGGACTTGATCCGTACTATCCCATTGAAGGCGGAGCGACATCTGCGAAGCTGCAGCTTCAGACGAACATGCGTGGCTGCCCAGTGCTGTCATCAGACGCGGCATTGCTCGGAGTTTCTCCTCGTGGGACTATGGGAGACGCTTTCATTTCCTGCCGAAGGCACTTGGAAAGCTTCTGCACCACCGGAGATCACATGTACCTGCTGGGGTCCCGCCCGCACCCAAGGCTGTGCTGGCCTTATGAAGACTGCGAAGCTCTGCTGGGATGGGGGCGGGCGCGATACCGCTCGGTCTCCTTGTCCCGTTTGACCTAAGCGAGGTTGCGAGTTCCGCTCCGCACGGCCTTGGCCTTCGCTGCGTGAGTGCCTTCACCCTGACCCTAACTTGGGCTGAAACCGGCTGAAACCAGAAAAAACAATAGCCTCCGATCCTACTCAAGATCTCCATGTCGTAACAGTGTGACAAGCAAGACGATTTGACTGGGCATTGTTACAATGCAGACTTGGAGGAGAAAGAAGGCAGCATGGAAGTTGCCAGTGCTGAAGCAAAGGCCTGAGTCTTCAGTGCTCTGTCAGTCTCTTTGGTCGCCCACTCTGTCTCAAGCTACGCCTCCTAGATATTCTCATCTTCCCCGACTTCGAACTGCCAGGCTTCTTTTCGAGGGAGCCATGTTTGGTAGCAGGATCCTGCTCTGCGCGCTTGCAGCCGGAGCAGCTGCTTTGCCCGCAGTTGAGACAACCAATGCTGGTTGCCCGGCTAGCGGAACAGTCATGCTGCAACGCAAGAAGGACAAGGATGTTGTTCGGCTGGAAGAGGCGAAGAGCAGACAGAGTACGAAGCAGCGCTATGGTCGCATTTCGCGTCGAACTGCGGCCCCTACATCGGCGGCTGCTTGGGTCGCATCGTCTTTCTCAGACTGTGTTCAATGCCCATCGGGATCTATGCAGATTCGCAGTGTGGAGTGCCTTCGGATCTTTGATGGTGCGGCTGAAGCGGAGAAGCAGTGTGCCGGCTATCCCAAACCTCCTGCGACGAAAGCCTGTGATTGTGCTGAATTGCCGTGCAACAGCAATCTGACGGACCTCTGCTTGGAACCTGCCGGTTGCCCTGTGGATTCAGACTTGGACACCGATTTCTTGGAGCTGGGATGCTTCAATCGTGCTCCTGGGCATGAGGCTCCTGGAGCCACCTTCGGGAACTCCTATGACTACACCTGCATGACCTACTCCGGCGACGTCCCTTGTAAGAGTGGCGTGCCATTCTACTCCATGAGATCAAACAGCATGACGCCAAGCTTATGCTATGAGTTCTGCACCGGCAAAGGCTTGGACATTTTTGCCTTGGTAGCTGGGGTAGAGTGTCGATGCGGTTCCTCCCAAGTAAACCAGAATGCGCGAGCTCACCGCATCGATTCTCGCCATTTGGACTTCAACCCATTGTTGCTCAGCCCGCATACTGACGACATGGATCTTTGCCCACTTCGTGTTTTTCGCTATGCAGGGCATTACGAAGAGGGAGGTGTGCCGTATGGTCTGACGCAGCTTCTGGAGAGCGATTCGGAGTATCTGCGCAGCATCTTCTCTGGACATCTGGTCGAACATCTTGAGGATGTCCCAGAGGACCAGAAGGACCCAGCAACAACTCCAGAACCGGGACTCGCCCAAACTGGTGGAAAGCAGACGCCAGAGGGCTACAACCGTGACTGCTGGCCTTCCAATTGTGGTCCAGGTCGTGGGCCGTGGCAGGACCGCGTGACTTCGCCCCCTGCTGGTGTACATGAAAGGTATTACGAGTACGTTGTGATTCCATATCACTTCGAAGACGGAACAGATGATGTCAGAAAAGAGGCTTTCCGTGTGGCTGTCAGGCGTTGGCACAGACAGTCATGCATCGTCCTGGTGGAAAAGCAAGCTACCGACATCACCCGTCCATTCATTTCGGTGGGCGAATATGACTCGGGTTCCTGCTATTTGTCAGGAATGGGCTGGCCGGGCTTTTGGGGAGGTAACCCACGACGCAGCAGGATTAACCTTGGCTGGTGTAATGACATGAGTGCCGTCGGGAGCATGGTTCATGAAATCGCCCATGCGATCGGAATGAATCATGAGCAAAAGCGTGCAGACGCAGCCCAAGCGTACAATGGACACGGGCCGCACTTGATCATGCACTGGCAGAACATTGACGCCGGCTGGCTTTCCCAGTACACGCCAGACTTCAAGTCCTACATCGGCTCCACTAACCAAGGCCTGGTGATTTCGGGAAGTCACCGGAGCAAGTCATGAAGCAACGACCCCAGCCCAGCAGCTTTGTACAAGTAGTACAAAAGATTGCCTCAGGGCTGAACCGAGTTGTGCCGCTCTGCGTAAGTTATTTTTGAGTTCCATGTAGCACTGTCTGTGCTTGCAGGTGCTGACGACCCTTTCTCAGGCTATGCCCCCTACGACTACCAGAGCATCATGCATTATCCTCCAGGGAATGCATACGATACAGACCCTCCGGAGAACGAAAACCTCATGGGCAACCGCAAACATCTCACTGCCGGTGACATCGAGCAAATTCTGGATGTGTACCAGTGTGTTGAGCTGCCGACCTGGTCTACCCCTGCTTCCTGCAACTTTGAGGATCACTGCTACTGGACAAACCAAGGGGAACTCGCTTGGGCAGTCCAGTCTGGGGCTACTCCGAGCTCGAACACTGGCCCAGACGCTGCAGCAGAGGGTGCCCACTACCTGTATGTTGAGGCAAGCGGAAGTGGCAATCCTTCAAAAACAGCCATCTACGAGAGCCCGGCCCTTGATGCCACTTCGAGCTACACTTTGACCTTCATGTACCACATGTTCGGCAGTCGAATGGGCTCCCTGGATGTTGAAATTGCAGACACCCGCGGAACCTTCTCGTCTGTTTGGAGCCAGGCCGACACTCAGGGCAACACTTGGCACCCGGTATCCCTGGACATCACTGCGGCTGTGGCTGTTCGATTTGTTGCGGTCACGGGTTCAGGTTGGAGTAGCGACATCGCGATCGACGATATCCAGATGACCTCAAGCAGTCCACCACCGGCAACAACCGCCACAACGACAACTACCACAACGACGACTACCACAACGACAACTACCACAACGACGACCACAACAACGACAACTACCATAGCGACAACTACCACAACGACGACTACAACAACGACAACTACCACAACGACGACCACAACAACGACAACTACCATAACGACAACTACCACAACGACGACTACAACAACGACAACTACCACAACGACAACCACAGCAACGACAGGCACCAGCACCTCGACCACCACTTCCACTAGCACAACGCTCGGTTGTCACGATGCCTGGCTACCAGACTGGGCCAGCAGTTCGACTGACGCTTGTGCAAGGTGGGCACAAGACTCTACATGGGGTGCATTGGCAAACGACAAGAGCCTCGCCGTCTCTTGCCAAGAACAATTCGCCTTGACCTCCTGTGCGAAGACTTGCGGATGCGGGGCACCGAGGCGGAAATAATGCAAACTTGTCACCAGATGCAAAGTAAAAGAGCTCAAGGTCTTGCGAGGTAGGAGCGGTGTTCGACGTACCGAGTGGAAAGGGTTTTGATCTTCCTCGCATCCCCCTCGCCCAGGCACCCTTCACAGCACCATCAGGATGCGACTTTGAGGGCGGCCTGTGTGGTTGGTCCACAGGGTCCTGGGTTCAGCAAGACCACCAAACTCCGAGCAATGGCACTGGTCCAAGCCACGCGCAGAACGGAAGCTACTACCTGTATGTGGAAGCCAGCGAACCTGCTTTGCCCGGAGATGTGTTGACTTTGCAGAGTCCACCCTTTGATGGTGCGAGCGTGAGTTTTGAACTCAGCTTTTGGTTCCACATGTTCGGCCAGGGCATGGGCAGCCTGCAGCTGAAAGGAAAAGATACCTTAGATAGCTGGGTGGAGCTCTGGAGCTCACAGGGCGATCTCGGCGACAATTGGCTGGAAGTTGACATTCCCATTCCAGCGGGCTTCTCTTCCCTCCGATTCGATGCAACGGTAGGCCCTGATTGGAGAAGTGACATTGCCATCGATTCCGTCCATGTCAAAACCACTACTACAACTACAACCACGACCACAACTACAACTACAACCACGACGACCACGACAACTACGACCACGACCACTACAATGACCACCATGCCAGGGGCGGGAACGGGCATTGATGCAGTGAGCTGTGACTTCGAAGTTGATTTCTGCAGCTGGTTCAATCCAGAGGCAAAGACGCACCTCGGCACTAATTTCATACGACCACTGTTTTGCAACCTGGGAGACAGAGATGGGAAGAGAGTGAGAGAGTCAGACCACACAACCCAGTACGCATTCGCACGTGGAAGGGTTCGCCCTTCTTGTCTGTCTGTGTGGAAGAAGAGAGAAAGAACGACAGACAGACAGACAGCCAGCCAGGCAGGCAGACAGACAGACAGACGGACTCGACAGACGGACAGACTGACCGACAGAAAGAAGGAAGGAAGGGATGGGAGAGAGAGAGAGAGAGAGCGGGAGCCACTCAGAGTTTTGGGGGCCCTAGTCGATCCTCGATCTGCCCAACGGTGCAGCCGAGCTGGAGGGGGCAAAGCCCAGGAAGGGCCTTCTCAAACCATGCCGAGAACCCGCAGGAGGTGCGTTCTCGCGCCCGAGGGATTCCTGGTAGAGAGAGAGAGAGAGCCAGTCAGACTCTTCCTCCGGGAAGGAAGAAGCGAGAGAAAGAAGGAGAGAGAGCGAGGACAGCCGAGCCTATCCTGCGATAATCGGACATGTGGCAGCTCTGACAGGCGGGGTGCTGGGACTGCCGGCAGCTCAAGCCCTGAAAGCGAGAGAGAGAGAGAGAGTGACGACTACCAGAGTGGGTCTACAGC